GGGGGGGGGGGGGGGCGGGGGGGGGGGGGGGGGCGGGGGGGGGGGAGGGGGTGTTAGGGGGCAGCGAGCGGCGGTGGGGGTGTGTTGGGGGGCTGTGTGCTGGCAGCGGGGAGCACTACCCCATACATCTGCCAGCAGTGGCACAGCAGCTGCTGCCGCTCTTCCTACAGAGCAAACTAAGCCTCCTTGAAAAGAGCGCTCTCCTGGTCACCATACTGACAACTGCAGATGACCTAAGAGGTAAGCGTGGGAAAAGGTGGAAGCATAGGGTCCCAGCCGCCCAACGGAGCCCGACAGCTGCGAGGGTGATGTGGGCCCACGTTCATGGGGGCAGAAATCAGCAGGTAGAGGGACTAGGAAACCGTCTGGAAGGGAAGAGCCCACAGTGTCAACCACAGGCATCTGCAGGGGGTGGAACCTGGTAAACTTTAATTCTTTCTACCTTTGAATGGTCTGAAAATTTAAACACGAGCATATATCATTTCACTTATGGTCTGATTTCATAATGTAATGAATACAGCAATTTTCAATTTGAAAAAGAGAGAACAAAACCCATAATCTAATAAACTTTTTGGAGACAGCTCTATTCTGTGTCATGGTTATTGACCGATTCCTGGGCCTAAGAACACAGCAAACTAGTGGAAGCTCTATTCTTGCCAGTGTCATCGCGCAAAGGTCCTTCCTTGCTTACAAATCAGCGCCTATGACCCTTTCTGAGACCAGCCTGGGACCATCCCCACCTTCTTCCCCATCACCCTGCAATGTTCCTCAACCTAGGGCTGGTTCAGGTCCCACTGTGGCTTCCTAGAAGGGACAGTGTAGTGGGTTGAATTGTGGCCCCCACAAAAGCTCTGCCCATGTCCTAACCCCCGTGCCTGAGAATGTGGCCTTATTCAGAAGAAAGGTCTTTGCAGGTGTAATTAAGTTAAGGACTCGAGATGAGATCACCCTGGATTTAGGGTGGCCTTGGATTCAGGGTGCATCTCTATAAGAGAGAGACAGAGGAGATTTGGCCCAGATACACAGGGAAGAGATGCAGCCACAAGCCAAGGAAAGCCTGCAGCCACCACAAGCTGGAAGAGGCAAGAAGGACGGTCTGCTAGAGCCTTCCGACGGAGCACAGCCCTGCCCACACCTAGGTTTCAGGCTTCTGGCCTCCACAGCTGTGGGAGAATCAATTTCTGTCATTCTAAGCCACCCAGCTTGTGGTAATTTGTTATTATGGCAGTCCTCAGAAAGTGCTACAGCTGGACAGAGGAGGGAGGGACCTCCCCCAGGGCCCTGCCCACCCCACCTCTCACTCTCCCATCCCCAAATGTCCCACCAGGCTCAAGAACCCCTCCAGGGCTCAAGGCTCTGGCAATGAAAGCTGAGCTCCAGGGGTCAGGAAGGGCAGGAGGGACTAGCATCTGTTCCCAGACACGGCAGGCCCTGGGGCAAAGCGGGGCCCCGCAGGCTGTCTCTGATCCTCACAAGTCCCCAGGAAGGGCAAAGAGAAGCTCTTGTTTCACCAAAGAGAGCAGTGGGAGAGGTGATGTACTGTCCCCAGAGTCCGTTGGCTCGATGGTGGAAGAGCAGAGGTGCTGCCATTACCCCACCCCTACTGTGCTGGCCAAGGGCCAAGTGCAGGGGATGTTAACTGGGCATTTGCAGCTGGGATGCCTGCCAGGAGCTGTCACTGCTGCTTCCCTGAAAAACTCTGCCAAACAGCCAGCCTGGCTTTGAAATAAGGAGCGTATTTGTAAGTTGGGGATGCCTTATAGCATATATCTGTCCAGCAATGGTGAGAAAGTTCCCACCAACATCACTCCAGGGGTGAACTGCCTATTACAGACCTTGGGCCACCACCCACCACAGCCAGGGGAGGGCCTACTTGGCCCCCAGTACCTGCACCTGACTCGAGACAGTGACAGAGATGAACACCAAAAGGAGCACGTGGCCTGTCTGTAATCGTCCCAAGTCACGACGGCCTAGTTTACCTAAACATAAGAAGCCACACAAAACACATCATTCGCTAGGAGCAGAACTCCAGTGCCCGGCGCTGACCGACCAGTGGCCTCAGCCCAGCCTGGTGAATGCGAGGCTGCATGGGGCGGTAAGTTTCCCAGAAGCTTCTCTGCTACAGATGCTGCTATGAACTCACTTTCCTGCTGCTAAATTTAAGTTTCATAAGAAAACGTCAAGTCATTACAGCTCACAAATGCCAAGCAAATGTAACTCACAAAACAAGTGAGTGTTACAGATTCAAGGGGAAAAGCCACCACGCCCCAAATGCGGCATCACAGAGAAAGGCAGGTCTGAAGGACGCCTGTTAGACACCTGGGGATCCATGGTAAGTGCCACCCGGGCTCGGTTTCACCCAGATTCCCTGACCAATGTCCAGGAGGACAGGAGGTCAGGGTCTGCCGGCAAGGCAGGCCGGCCCTGTCGGGGATGACACACAAGGCCCTGGCCTGCCCACTGCCAACTGCCACCGGCTGAACCTGTTCACCACAACCCCCCTCCTCCCATCCACTTATGGGCGATTAGTCATCTGCGAATTCTAGTTTTCCAGGCGTGTGTTCATTTTATACGTCAAATTATTGGCCACATCAGCATGGCTGTCTTTTCTGTATCAATCTTATTCTCACTCAGCCACTCAGCCTTGCACGGTGGTGGAGAGCTGACGAGGGGCCCAGGCTCTGCTCGCTCCCCGTCCCTTCACTCATGCCATACTGTCCCCTGACAAGTGTGCACAGGGTGCCTGCTGAGGGCCAGGCCCCATCTAGGCACTGCGTGCCCTGTGGGGACAGAGTCCACCTGCGTGGGTGCCGCCTGAGGCTGGGTGGCAAGAAATGCTGTGGAACAGGTGGGCCGGGAGCACATGTTTGTGAGTGTGTGTGTGTGTACTGTGAATGAGTGTGGCGTAAGTGTGAATGAGTGTATGTACGTGGACTGTGTGTGGCGGAGGAGTGGCTGTGCTGAGTGTGATCACACACGTGAGTGTGTGTCACGGCCACCAAGAACCCCTCCCGCACGGAGCCAGCACCTGCCCCACACGTGCTGTTCTGGGCCGGGCTGGCGGTGGTCCCGTGGGTCCTGCTGCCAGGCGCATGCACAGGGCTGGTGTCCTCAGGGAACACTCACACCGGCCCAGATCTTAGGAATGGCAGCGCGATCTCTGAGTGGCGCTATTAGGGCCTGACCATTGCACTTGATATCTGCCGGTAGTCACGTTACACTTGCTGTCTTCTCGCACTGCTACCACTGAGCCCCTTCCCGCCCTGCAGTCTCTGCCAAGGGTGAAATCCGGTCAGCCCTAGACGTTTCTGCAGTGGGGCCAGCCCAGTGGTTCTGCAATCAGGGAGGGCTATGACATGCCTGGTGTCCACCATGAGCTGCCGAGAAACAGAATGGCAAAGGCTGTGGCAAATCAGAGAGAATTGCTTAAACCCGCTAAGCCTTGGTTTCCATGTGTGCAAAATGGAAACAATGCTGCCCATCTCATCGGGGTGTTGCTGGGAAGAGAGGTACACGAGGAAAACGTGCTCAGCCTGGAGCCCGGCCCGGCTCAGAGCACCTGACATGTTCCAGATCATGATTGATCCAGCGTCTGGGCATTGCCTTCACTAATGGTGGCCTGTCCTGGGAGGTGACATTTAAAACTCAGTTTACCCACCCATAATTCCCCATTATTTAAGACAATTCAGCTTGCCTGTGTTTACCGTCAAACGTGGGTCCTCACCGTTCAGCCAGCCACGCTCGCCTCATCCGTCCTCCGCTTCCTGCTCCTGCATTCCCTTGTGCATCAATCCTTCATTCTTCGTCACCAGCAGGCTCAAGGCTGAACAGTTTCCCTGCCTCGTGCTTTACCTACACTGTCTCCTTCTCATATTCCAGGGATCTCTATGGAGCTACCCCAGTCGTGCATTCTACCCGGATTTGGATTGGTTTTCGGCTTCCCCGACCTCCATGTTAACAAATCATTGCTGTCCTTGATGCTGTGAACTTTGATACATTACAATGCTGTTGTGTGACCTAAGTCACCAGGGTGACCACTGTGGGGGTCACAGCCAAAGGCCACAGAACACAGACTGGAGTACCTAGTTCACCGGCTGCCACCAACTTCCTCACAGCCAGGAAACAAGCATCCCCTCCCCGCAAAGGTCCCTGGAAGCCCCTTCACACCTGCCTGAGTGCCAGCATCTTCCCAGATGACAGATTATCCAAAGTTCCCTGGTCTGAGCTCCCATCTGAGCCCCCCATGGGTAGACATAATGGATCTCAGGTAGCCTGGGCTTCCCCACCAGTTGTGGATGGAACAGTGTCCTCCCCAAATTCATATGTTGAAACCTTAGCCCCCAGTGTGACTGTATTTGCAGACAGGGCCTTTAAGGAGGTAATTAAGGTTAAATGAGGTCATAAGGGTGGGGCCCTAATTGTAATGAACAGGACTAGTGTCCTTATAAGAAGAGGAAGAGACACAAGGAGTGAGCACAGAGGGAAGGCCACGTGAAGACACAGGGAGAAGGCGGCTGTCCACAAGCCAGGGAGAGAGGCCTCCCCAAAAACCAGCCCTGCTGGTACCTTGTCAACTTCCAGGCTCCAGAACTGTGAAAAAATGAATTTCCGTTCTTTAAGGCACCCAGTCTGTGGTATTCTGTTCTAAGACACCACCTGATCTCCCACCCAGCTCCAAGAACTTCGTCCCTCCTCATCCTCTGGGCCAGACACACAATCCTACTGGAAGGGGCTGAATCAAAGAGCTAAGAAGAGATAGCCAGGCAAAAAGGGGGAAAACATCAGCGTTTCTCGGCATGGCTCCTCGCTGGTCACCAGAACAGGTGTTTGTCAAAAAGCAGATTCCGACAGAGGCAAAAACAGACGATGCAGAAATAAACAGCTTTGGGCCAGAGAAGGAAGTGGCAAATTCATGGTGGAAGAAGCCACAGAGAGCATTAATCTGTCCTCCTGCTCTCTGGCAGAAGAGAAGCCAATCTCTTTTGGCCACCTTGTTACTTACGGACTGATTTTGCAATTCTGCACCT